AGCTAGATCTTACCACAATATTTAATTATTTCCTGAGGATAATCTTATTAGTGAAATTGGTTATTCCACTGGGGCAAAGGTTATAAATATTTTTATCGCTTTTGATACCTAATGACAAATCACTTTTTTATAAAGTAATACAAGTATATATCAGCAATGTAGTCTTCCCTGAGACGGAGTCTTGCTCTTGTCACCCAGGCTGGAGTGCAATAGCATGATCTCAGCTCACTGCAACCTCTGCCTTCCAGGTTCAAGTGATTCTCCTGCCTCAGCCTCCTGAGTAGCTGGGATTACAGGTGTAAACCACCATGCCTGGCTAATTTTTGTATTTTTAATAGAGATGGGGTTTTGTCATGTTGGCCAGGCTGGTATCAAACTCCTGACCTCATGATCCGCCCACCTCAGCCTCTCAAAGTGCTGGGATTACAGGCGTGAGTCACTGTGCCCGGCCAACAATGTAGTCTTATGCATGTAATTACCTGTCCCCCCCACCCATAATATTGAGAATTATGTTTTATCTTTTGAAATCCAATAGAAACTGTTTCTGGCCAGGCACAGTGGCTCACCACCATAATCCCAGCACTTTGGGAGGCAAAGGCGAGCAGATCACCTGAGGTCAGGAGTTCAAGACTAGCCTGGCCAACATGACAAAACCCCATTTCTACTAAAAATACAAAAATTAGCCAGGTGTGGTGGCGTTCACCTGTAATCTCAGCTACTCAGGAGCCTGAGGCAGGAGAATCCCTTGAACCCAAGAGGCGGACGTTGCAGTAAGCCGAGATTGCACCACTGCATTCCAGCCTGGGTGACAAGAGCGAAACTCCCAAGACTCCGTTTTAAAAAAAAACAAAGAAAGAAAGAAAACTGTTTCTAATTTGCACTTTACTTACACAGTTGACCCTTGAACAACATAGGTTTGAACTTCAGGGATCACTTCTGTGTAGACTTTCTTCTACCTCTGCCAACCCAGACAGCAAGACCAACCCCCTCCCTCCTCCTCCTTCTCAATGTGATGATGAAGATCCAGATGATCCACTTCCACTCAACAAAGAGTAAATATAGTTTCTCTTCCTTAAAATTTTTTCTTTTTTTTTTTTTTTTTTTTTTTGGAGACAGAGTTTTGCTCTTTTGCCCAGGCTGGAGGGAAGTGGCATGGCTCACTGCAACCTCTGCCCTGCCACCACCCCCACCCCAGGGTTCAAGTAATTCTCCTGCCTCAGCCTCCCAAGTAGCTGAGATTACAGGCACCCACCACCACGACCAGTTAATTTTTTTGTATTTTTATTAAGAGATGGGGTTTCACCATCCTGGCCAGGTTGGTCTTGAACGCCTGACCTCATGATCCACCCGGGATTACAGGCATGAGCCACCACGCCTGGCCTGAGAACATTTTTTTGGCTGTTTTCAGACATTCATCCTAGCAGATGAACTTCAGCATTGCTTCCTCAAGATCAAAAAATAAATGTTTAAAAACTTTGCGAACATATTTCAGAAGCACACTAAACGTATAAATTCAGTTTGGAAATTAAGTGCTTTTAGATAGTATGTAGGAACCTTCTCTGTACAACATCCATCATAGCCCCAACCACAGGAATGTCATGATTAATTAATAAATGAAGCACTAGCCACACACAGGTCACGTGAAGCCTTGCCATTCATTCTCCCTCTCTCCCTGTGCCTCTGGCTCCCTTGTCACCTCATGACCTCCTGTTGTGCCCCAAATGCCCAGGAACTGGCTCCTGAATCTACTTTCCCTGCAGCACCCTATGTGCCATACCTCATTTGGCTGCTGCCTTCCTTCTCCCTATTCAAACCCGACAGAACGATATCCTATGACAAATCAATCCTATCAAGTAACTGACCAGCTCCATAATGCAAAGCGTGTGGCCCAAAATGTGTCAGTGCCTCCTTTTACAGACAAAATTGAGGCAAAGTCTGTCCAACTGTCTAGGTGAGATGTCCTGAATCTGGTGAACATTAAAGACAGCCAGAGGTGGAGCTATGATGGAGCAGCCTCACCATGGCTGGGGACACTATCCCATAAGCCAGGTCATCTACCTCCCTTTAATGACTCCGAGCTCACCAAGTAAGCCAATGTGACTTTCTAGCCTGCTGACAACAAGAAGGAAATATCCATGAAAGGGCTCACTAAAAAATGTCAAGTGCCATCAAAAATGGTTAAATTGCCATTTCTATGAGTTTAGCTTGAGTCCTTTTCCCCTCCGGCCTCTGCGATCAATAATGGGTATTCTTTTTTTTTTTTTTTCCTGAAATGGAGTCTCACTCTGTTACCCAGGGTGGAGCGCAGCGGCGCAATCTCGACTTATTGCAACCTCTGCCTCTCAGGCTTAAGCGATTCTCTAGCCTCAGCCTCCTGAGTAGCTGGGATTACAGGCACCCGCCACCATGCCTGGCTATTTTTGTATTTTCAGTAGAGACGGGGTTTCACCATGCTGGCCAGGCTGGTCTCGAATGTTGGACCTCAAGTGATCCTCCCACCTCAGCCTCCCAAAGTGATGGGATTACAGGCATGAGCCACTGCACCCAGCCTAATAATGGGTATTCTAACAGACAAGTTTCTAGGCCTGCAAAGATGAAAGCCAAACTTTTGACAGTGATTGACCTCGTATCTTGCTAAGGGAGTCAGAGTACAGTCCTTTTAATTATAACGTGTGACTCAATTTATAATTATAAATGTATTCCCGAGCTGGGTGTGGTGGCTCATGCCTATAATCCCAGCACTCTGGGAGGCCGAGGCGGGCGGATCACTTGACGTCAGGAGTTTGAGACCAGCTGGCCAAAATGGAGAAACACTGTCTCTACTAACAAATACAAAACTTAGCTGGGCGTCGTGGCATGTGCCTATAGTCCCAGCTACTTGGGAGGTTGAGGCAGGAGAATCACTTGAACCCAGGAGGCAGAGGTTGCAGTGAGCCAAGATCATGCCAGTGCACTCCAGCCTGGGCAACAGAGCATGACTCTGTCTCAAAAAAAAAAAAAAAAAAAAAAAAAGGCAGGGTGCAGTGGCTCATGCCTGTAATCCCAGCAATTTGGAGGCTGAGGCAGGTGGATCATCTGAGGTCGGGAGTTCAAGACCAGCCTGATCAACATGGAGAAACCCCATCTCTACTAAAAGTACAAAAATTAGCCAGGTGTGGTGGCACATGCCTGTAATCCCAACTACTTGGGAGGCTGAGGCAGGAGAATCGCTTGAAGCCAGGAGGTGGAAGTTGCGGTGAGCCAAGATCACACCATTGCACTCCAGCCTGGGCAACAAGAGCAAAACTTCATCTTAAAAAAAATATATATATATATGTATACACACACACACACACACACACGTACATATACATACATATACACATACATACATACATATATATAAAAAACTATGAATATGTTCCTGAAACAATATACTATGTATAGAAGGCTCAGACTCTCATGCCCATAGACCCTTTCTAAAAAAAGAAGCTACAGGCATTCCTGGCCAAGAGTTAACATGCTTTGTGTCATCTGAGCCAGGCCATGGCTGATTAGATCAACAATTTGCACTTCAGCCCAAGGCAACCTAGAAACTAATCATAAGTGCTCAAGGGCCATAAGGGCCATATGTCATTAAGACCCTGTGGCCTACAATAGGCTTAATGAATACACATGGCCCCAAAAGGCTGCTCCCTTCTTGAGAATAACTGCCCCAGTCAGATTCCCTCTCCTGGGAAGACAAAGAAGCTGAGAGCCATAGGCAGAAGCAAAAGGGACTCACTGGAAGTTTCTGAAGGAAATTATGAGAATCTGGCTCAAATCCCAACTCAGCCACCTGCTAACTGGTTGACCTTGGGTAAATTATTTAATTTTTTCTTTTTTTTTTTTTTGAGACAGTCTCACAGCTGCCCAGGCTGGAGTGCAGTGGCGTGATCTCAGCTCAGGGCAACCTCCACTTCCTGGGTTCAGGCGATTCTCTTGCCTCAGTCTCCTGAATAGCTGGGACCACAGGCGTACGCCACCACACCTGACTAATTTTGTATTTTTAGTAGAGACAGGGTTTCGCCATGTTGGCCAGGCTGGTCTTGAACTCCTGACCTCAAGTGACCCACCCACCATGGCCTCCCAAAGTGCTGGGATTACAGGTGTGAGCTACTGTGCCTGGCCCCTAAATTACTTAATTTCTCTAAGCCTCAGTTTTCTGTTCTGTTAAACTGAGCCAATGATAGTTGTGTATTACATCATATATAACAGAATTGTGAAAATCACATAGAGTGAAAAACAAATAATTCAGCAGAGTCTTTGGCCAGGAAGACTTCTCAATGCATGAACATGATTATTCGTACTACCTTCCGGGTCACTGGAGCTACTGCTTTGCTCCAACTAGCAAGCAATCTGCTTTTTTGTTGTTGTTTGTTTTTTGAGATGGAGTCTCCCTCTGTCACCCAGGCTGAAGTACAGTGGGGCAATCTCGGCTCACTACAACCTCCACCTCCCAGGTTCAAGCAATTCTCCTGCCTCAGCCTCCTGAGTATCTGGGACTATAGGTGCACCCCACCACGCCCGGCTAATTTTTTACATTTTTAGTAGAGAAGGAGTTTCGCCATGTTGGCCAGACTGGTCTCGAACTCCTGACCTCAAGTGATCCGCCTGCCTTGGACTCCCCAAGTGCTGAGATAACAGGCGTGAGTCACTGCGCCCAGCCACAATCTGCTCTTAATTACACTGCAAAAATCCCAGGAGATGCTTAACTCCAGGGAGAACCTGAGTGCTGTGCAGCCTCTTTCCACTTCCCTCACACACCTGGGCAGGTGGGCAGTCATACCATCATCCATCCCTCACAGCCCCCATGTTAGAGAGATGTTGATAAGGAAGATTAATATATTTCAGAGCAGCATACCTGGAAAAATGCAAACCCTGGGGTGTCATCAATCCAAAGTTACCAGGGAAATGGGGAAAGGCAAATGCGGAAGTTGTTCCTGAACAGTTCTTGCATTTCGGATACAGAAAATACTTACTAAAAGCATCTACCGCCTTTGTCAGATTGTTCTGGGCAGACCTGAGAAAATAAAATTTAAAAAAGTTTTTTCTTTTTGAAAATAAAACAACAAAAATACAATCACATTTTCGTTTGTTTGTAAAAGCCCTGTCCTCTACCAGGTCTGAGATGCATTTCCAGTGACCTGAATGCTCCTTGCCCCAGGGTGTCCCTCATGGCCACGCCCTCGTTCCAGGTGTTTAAAGTCCCACCTGGGCACCTTTCTGTTAACTATGGAAGATGATTCTTTCAGATTACACTTACTGTACATGTTTATGCACGTCTTTCTCAGAAATCATACTTCAAGCAGTACAGAAATACTTTCTATTCTCTTACTTCCATTTTCTTTCTTTTTTTCTTTTTGAGACAGGGTCGCACTCCATCTCCCAGGCTGGAGGGCTGTGATGCAATCTCGGCTCACTGTAACCCCCACCTCACGGGCTCAGGTGATCCTCCCGCCATCGATCCTCCCACCTCAGCCTCCTGAGTAGCTGGGATTACAGGTGGCTCCCACCACACCCAGCTAATTTTTTGTAGTTTTGGTAGAGATGGGGTCTCACCATGTTGCCCAGGCTGGTCTTGAACTTCTGAGCTCAAGAGACCCACCTGCCTCAGCATCCTAAAGTGCTGGGATTACAGGCGTGAGCCACCACACCCGACCTATCCTGTTACCTTCAAACTGTGAAAATATCTGTGAGTATTCAATTTTCCATCGCCCTTACTATGAAAAATAAGTTCTTTGGCATTAAAACCCGTCAGAGACTTTTGTGATTTTCTGCATTCTGAGAGGTGGTTGCTTTGGATGTGGTATCATGAAGGCTTTCTTGAAGTTAGCTTTCATTCATCTCCTTGCTGCTATGACTGTTTGGGGATCGAGAACCAAGAGACTTTGACAGGTACTGTACTCTCGATTGGCTTCACATCAAAATTCAAGCACTGACAGGTGACGACTGCTATGTGCTTTCTGATGAAGTGTTTTTGGGAACTGGATGTCCTATAACCAACGTGTGTCAAGATTTTTTTTTTTTTTAAATATGGAACACTTCACGAATTTGCACGTCATCCTTGTGCAGGGGCCATGCTAATCTCTGTATTGTTCCAATTTTAGTATTTGTGCTGCCAAAGTGACCACAAGATTTTTATATGTTATATGTTTCTATACCAACAGTGGCATCAAATCTCAGCTTTTAAAAGGGAAGGTTATTTTAAAATCTATACTAATATTTACCTCAGGAACATTACCAAGGGAAGGATTCATGCCTATCTCCTGTCCTGCTGAGAGAGGTGGGTCTTCATTGCAATCTGCAATTTCATTTATCCATACAAGGCAGGCCAAATCACAGTCTTGGGCAGGGCTCAGTGGCTCACGCCTGGAATCCCACCACTTTGGGAGGCCAAGGCGGGCTGATCGCTTGAGGTCAGGAGTTTCAGATCAGCCTGGCCAAAATGGCGAAACCCTATCTCTACTAAAAATACAAAAAAATTTAGCAGGGTGTGGTGGTGCACCCCTGTAATCCCAGCTACTCAGGAGGCTGAGACATGAGAATCACTTGAACCCAGGAGGCGGAGGTTGCAGTGAACCGAGATCATGCCACTGCACTCCAGCGTGGGCAACAGAACAAGACTCCATCTCAAAACAAAACAAAAAAATCCCTGACTTTTCCAGTTTACCAAGACTACTGCCAAAACACTACTGTGTGCTTGAAATCACGCTCCAAAGCTTAAAACACATTTTTCTTATTCATCCACCAAGATTGATGAAGTCAAGGAAGTGCCTAACATTAGATCATTGTACATCCTATGCCTCATTTTCTCTTCAATGGGAAATGCAAGTGGGTTATATAAGGTGATATACAGAACAACTGCAGCTGTCTGAGGACTGAGCAATAACATGCCTAAGCTATAATACTGAGGATGGCAGAGTTCTTATTGATACCATTATCAATTTCATTAATCTGCAATGTTCATAAAGCAGACATTTCCTTCTATGAGTCCTTTGGAGAAATAAGTTTTTAATTATACTAGAATCATATTCAATAACACTCTTCAAAACCATGAATGCCCTCCTTGTGTCATGGCTGGGATGCACAATGATCTACTGGTTGAAACGAGGGCTTTGGAGTCAGAGGCCTGGCTTTACCGCTAATTAGTTGTATGATTTTAGACAAGACAAGTGACTTCATTTCTCCAAGTATTATTTCTTCATTCATCAAATAGGGATGCTACGACTTACCTGTGAGAATTAAATAAGATGATGCAAGTTAAACATAATTGTTAATAAGATTACAAGAAAGTTTTTAAAAGTATTTTTTCCTTAAATTTTTTTTTGAGACAGTCTTGCTCCGTCGCCCAGGCTGGAGTGCAGTGGCGTGATCTCAGCTCACTGCAAGCTCTGCCTCCTGGGTTCATGCCATTCTCCTGCCTCAGCCTCCCCAGCATCTGGGACTACAGGCGCCCGCCACCACGCCCGACTATTTTTTTGTATTTTTTGTAGAGACAGGGTTTCACCGTGTTAGCCAGGATGGTCTCGATCTCCTGACCTTGTGATCCGCCCACTTCGGCCTCCCAAACTGCTGGGATTACAGGCGTGAGCCACCGCGCCCGGCCTCCTTAAATTTTTAAAGATTTTCCTTTTTTTTTTTTTTTTTTGAGACCGAGTCTTGCTCTGTCATCCAGGCTGGAATGCTGGAATGCACTGGCACAATCATGGCTCAGTGTAGCCTTGACCTCCTGGCTCAAGTGATCCTCCTGCCTCAGCCTCCCGAGTAACTGGGACTACAGGCATGCATTACCATGCCTGGCTAATTTTTAAATTTTTGCAGAGATAGCACTCCACGAGGTTGCCAGGCTGCTCTGCAACTCTGGGCTCAGTGATCCTCTGACTTCAGCCTCCCAAAGTGTTGGGATTACAGGCGTGAACCACCACACCCAGCCTAGAAACTTTTTTTTTTTTTGAGATGGAGTCTCACTCTGTTGCCCAGGCTGGAGTGCAGTAGCGTGATCTCAGCTCACTGCAACCTCCACCTCCCAGGTTCATGACATTCTCCTGCCTCAGCTTCCCGAGTAGCTAAGACTACAGGCGCCCACCACCACGCCCAGCTAATTTTTTTTGTATTTTTAGTAGAGACGGGGTTTCACCATGTTAGCCAGGATGGTCTCGATCTCCTGACCTCAA